CTGTTTGCATAAATTTAAATACAACATTACAACTTCATATGTAATATTTTTGTATTTAATTTGCAACTCTTTCTTCCTCCGTGGCCTATTCTAGTGTGAGTTTCATATAATATACTGAACAATTCCTCATTGGTAACATAAAACCGTATATTCGCTTTTCCTGGTTTTAATGGTACAATTAACTTCTCTTCATCATTAATTTTTAAAACATCAAAACGTTTTAATCGTCTGTAATCCAAAGGTGTGTTGCACTTAGTCTTAGCAGAAACCACTTCAGAAAGTATTTTAGAGTAATTTTCTTGAGAAAAATAAAAACAATTGTCTTCTCGTTTACCCGCAATTAAAGAATTTAACTATTTAAGAAAAAGATCACGATTCACTGCAGTTTCCATTCAGTATAAATTAGGGTATCGGGAAAAAAATTAAGAAAACGTTGCTTGCACCATCAAACCTCGCACAAGACTGACACTCCACCAGAACAAAGGATTTTGCGGGAAACAGCCAGTCGCCTCTTTGTCTACTCCTCTCTTTTCGACCTACACCAGAGCAGATCTGTGATTGTCGACATACACCGGTGAGGGTCCGAATGTACAAGAATGTAATGCAATATTCGGTCTTTCACCGACGTGTTTGGTGAATGTTGACATTCTCCGGTGAAAGTCGACATTCTCCAATTTCGGTCTTTCACGGTAACATAAAGATTTAAAAATAATACATGGCTCATTAAAAATACTACATTGTGATAACAAGGAGGTTAGAATAGATGGAGTAAGCCTGGCATCACAACAATGAAGCCTAAGAAGTGTCAGCAATGTGACGTCAAGACTTAATCATGGCCGCTATAACAGCGTACGGGTAAGAATACGAAACATTTTTGTTAAGTAAAATTAAAATGAATTTAAAAGCAAATAGCAACGTCCGCAGGCTCAGAAAAGTGTTTTTGAGCATAATTTGCATAAATTAGCATTGAAACTTCAACTGATCTTCCAGGTTTTAATATGTATACATTTATCTTATAGTTACCATTTACACGTTTTTATGTACCTAGACTTTTATGATATGTGAAAGAGGTATTTGCAATCCTTGTTATTTTTCTATATACTAAGTGAAAAAATCTTTTATGTTAAGTATTCAAATTAGAATGGCAGACTTATAAACGTTCAGTGATGAATAGCTAATATATAGAAAACGCAGATTACAATATATACAAAACCGACCAGAAATATGCTTATGATAGCAATCGTAAGCCATGACGTCATACCGTGACGTTTCATGGCTTATTTTGCGCGAGACATACGCTGGAGGTTAACTCAATTTATTCTAACCCCCTTGGTGATAACAGTGCGATGCATAATCCTTTTATTTGCTTGCCTATAATTTTTTTATGTTCGCAGCATAATTTATTTAAAAATAATGCATAGAGATAACATTAGGTGGCAACAACGTTTAATTTATGTTGGCATATATATTTTTATATATTGGCTATATAATGTTTAAAAATAATACATGACAACAACATTTGGTTACAAAGTTTGAAAAGTAATGCGGACAAAAAAAAAAAAAAAAAAAAAAAAAAAAAAAAAAGTGAGGTTTGAGACTAAGCATGCTATTAGTAAAGAAAAGTTTCATAAATTAAAGCATTTTAAAAGGCTCTATCATAATGCACAGTGAATGTACACAAAAATGTCATATCCCTTTTAGACTGCTAACCTTCAATCGGCGTGGAAGAATGACCTCTGATTCTTGTCCTACCTTTCTTACGATTCTTATAGGTCCGTGATTCCTACCTGCATTCAAAATATGAGATTTGTGTTGACAAAATTTTCATTTAGAAATTTTTATGAATTATTTTTGTGATTTTGACCATTAGCTCATTTAAAGAATATAGCTTTGATGAACAGACAACTATTTTGATATTATTGCTGAAAAATAGACGAATGAAATCGCACCAGATAAACCGAGTAGTCTGCGAGTGATGGACCCTGTAAATCCATTTTGTTGGAAATACACCGTTTAAAATAATTTCACATTGAAAGCGTACTAATGCATAAAGAAGTTTTATCAATAAAACTGTTTTATGTGCAATTTAAAATGTATTAAATATAATGCATATATCCAAAGCTGTTAGCGTTGAAATATTTCCATAAACATTCTATATTTTTGGTATTTACGTGTTATCGGAATCATCCTAGTGGCAGACGCTAAATTTTCAGAATGTGCCAAATCTGGCAACCATGAGTTTAGAAATATCCTTCCGTCAAGTCGCCATTCTCTTACGTGTGTTATATTTTTTATTCAAGTTACAGTGGTTTTTGTAAACAAATGATTATATTTTTTGCCTTAACTTTAAAATATTCGCTTGCGGAATTTTCGAGTAATGGAAGAAGATATTGTAAACTTTCTGCAGGAATATGGAATTTTGCCATAAAATCTCTAAAGGAGATGCATTTGGTAGATAGCCTGTGTTGCCGAGGTTCACGCGATACTGAGTCTGAAATTCTCCGATTTTTGAATTGAAAGGAGATCGCTGTGTACTTAGAGAAAAGAACAGCGGAAAAAATTGCAGAAAGATTTGGTAAAGGATGTAAATATTTCACTTTTTAAATGTATCACATAGTCCTTATTTAATTATTAAAATTTGCATTTTAAATTGCTAAAGTATGTTTTCTTTTCGTATGCTGATAATACCTTCCGATTTGCGATAAATATCGATAGTTTAGGAATCTTTCTAAAAAAGTTGCGAAAACTATCAACTTGCAACCGATAAGCAAATATTACCTTTTCATCTGTAAAAATTCGTCCAATTGCACCAGGGTGGTTGCGTTAAAGTGCCGCATTTTTCATGTAATAATTCGGAATGATCTTTCATTATAACTCTGTACTTTAAGTTAGCATAAACATTCATTAAAGAAATTATATTACAACAAATTTTATTACAACAAATTCCAGAACAGTATTTTAAATTGCCTACATAATTTCTAATAAAGTGTATTTTTTAATCTGAGATAAAATACACGTCAGCATGAAACATATCTATTGTTAAACGAAGCTACCTTTTTAGTGAAACTTTGAGTATTAAACTACTAGATGAAACCTTCAAAATTAATATATATATATATATTATTTCCGTTTCTTGCTCTTAATTACAAACTGTAAAATCCGTTATGACTATTTCAGCAAGAACTAGAATTTAAAACAATATTGTTGCTAGAAAAGTGCTGAAGTATAAATCAATGGCTAGGTTCAAATTCATGGAATTTGCAAATCTAAAAGCCCTATGATAAATTAAGAACTTATATTTGAATTTGACCATCTGAAGCTCGTTCTAGACCTCGATTAAATGCATAAAAGTTTAGAGGAATAACACACAATACTAACATCTGCAATACATAATATTCTGCGTTAGCTTCTACAACAGATTTCATAAAATTTTTCATAAATTCAGTTTCTTTGCGTTGTGAAATGTTTAGCGTAATTTGTTGCAGAGAAACAATTCCTGTGATAATTGTAGAAAATTTTCACATCATAAATTGGAAACCTAATTCTGCAAAAACCGTATCAAATGATCGCTCTGAATATCGAAAACCAGTTTTTCGGATTCAGACACTTTTTCTCTAAATCCCTTGAAGACATGGATTGATGGAGCTATCGTAAATTCGGAAAATTTCCCGAGGCGCCGATGGCTATAGATCCGCCGTGTCATTAAAGATGCCAGAGCAAGAAGGCGACTGTTCGGCAAAGCAGAAGAAATCATAAAAGTGCTCTGACACAAAAATATTAACACCTCAGTGAAAGGTGCTTACTTTATGTTATAAACTGGGCTTATAACTTTACATCTTTATTAGGAGTCATTCTCAAAGACTCCTAATAAAGATGCTTTAAGATACAAAGTACCAGCTCCGAATAAATTTGCTTTCTTCGAAACATAAACTTAATAATGGTGTGGGCTACAGGCAGCTTTATGTGACACTTAATATCCTTGGTAAAAAGTGGCCCATTTGGGCCAATACCTTTTTGATGAAGATTCGTCAGGACAGAAACCGTTCTGAAGGTACGGCATATTGATGGAAGTTGTTTTCTGTAAGTTCTAAACTTAACTTCAAAACAGCGCGGGCACTTTTTATGCATGTCAGTGACTATTCACTAAAATAAACATCCAACTATGGGCATCACCAACGTTGCATTCTTCGTCTTGTAACCTAAACTTCCTAAGAGTGGCGGCCATCTCTCATATCTTAATGAATAATGCCTAACCTACAAAGTGTACCTGCATCTTTATTTCGGCGACTGTACTCTTCGATTTTCAAAGGAAAGTCCCGAATGGTACAAAGTGAAATTCGCATAGGTGCCGACACCTTTATTGAAGTCTGCGACTTTTCCCTTATATGGTCGTCGAACTTCATAAGAGTGCTATGCACTCCTTATGTCTTGAAGATTAAATGACTAAGTTGAAAAGGTGCCGGAACTTTTATTCATGTCTGCAACTATTAATTTAGATCTTTATAAGAGCGTCCCGGAATCTTAAGGAAGGTTGTATTCATCATGTTATATACTGAACTTTCGTGTTTTAATGTCGTATATCCTTGTATTTTGGCGAACAATGCTTAACTTGCAAAAATGTTTCGGCACATTTATGCAAATTGCCCTCGCCCTTGAGATCACTCCCCATCCATCACTGCTTGAAAATATCAGAAAGTGTTTGCTTCAAACTTCTTTATTTTTACGATATTGAATATAACTATTATAGTTTAAGATTTCTAACCATTTACGAGGTTATAATATTTATAACACGTAAAACAATGAGGAAGATTTCAAAAGATTTCAATGCATTATCTTAGTAGCAAGGAAAGCTTTCGGACCTCTTAGAAGACAATAGCAATGAAGTTTCATGAGTAGTGGAGCATGTGAACAAAACAAAATCTTGAAAAATGGCGAAATGTTTTTGCAATAAGTAGACTTAAAATCTAACAACAGTTATTTACAGCATTAATAGTACTTACATAAGCATTTGGGAGCAGCACCCCAAAAATATCCTGTGCCTAGGCATGCTATTTTGGGGGGACCCTGAAGCAAATGTCCGGGTTGACAATGATATTCAATATCGGAGCCAACAGCTGATCCCATAATTATGGAGGAATTTGCTGGTCTCTCTGGCATACCACACGTAACTGGATCTGTAAAATTAAACAATCGGTAAAGTCGGTTAAAAAGAAATGTCAATTGATAAAATCCCCCCCAAATAAATAAATAAATGAAAGAAAAGAAAAGAACAAACAGGCAATTTACAAAAATCGCTTGTTTGCTAAGCCCTCTTACGATTTGAAACGCTGGGGTTTCAGCCTGGATTTTTCGAGATGCCGGAAAAAAAGGTCTAAAAAATATTGTTTACAGATACCACATGAATTTCTTTGCAACATATTAAGTGTTTTCCGTGTGAGTTATAAAACTGGCATATCGTGGGAGTTGCCATCGTCAGGTCTCAAGGCAAACAGGCGAGTGAGGAAACTCATAAACCTCCAATGAGATCTCTGGCTATGAATAGTAAAAAGGTCTCTACTACCGATACTATGGACCTCTGTACATGAAGGTAGCAAACGCCACCAATAAGCCCGAAAGGGTTAAGATGGAATTATTAGTACTTGCGTATTAGCGCAACCAACCATAACAGAAGTCACCAAGTTTTCAGAATGCGCCACACGCTGGCAAACACGCGCATAAAAATTCTCCTGCTTTAAAACGCGGTATGCATTCTTTTACTATACTCCAGATTCTAACTGTTTGCCTTAATCTTAGAATATATGCTTGTGGGATTAATTTGCAGTTCAAGAAGTTGCAACAGGATTGAATCTAAGATGTGCGACACTTCTTTTCTTTCTTGAAACTGTCTGATTAACACACATATGTATGATTGCGCATAGCGTGCGGAATTAACCAAGTTTTTGGTGAATAGACTTTATTTTAGCCCAAAGGGGCATTAGCGTAGGAGGGCTGTTAGTCTGGAAACAGCATTTTGCGTCGAATTACTAAAAACACCGTACGGAATAAAACATTTTTATCTCAAGCGCGCGAGACTGTCTATCAGAAATTCTAAAGATATGCTGTTTTAAAATACAGGGTGATTCTAAATTGTTTTTACAAATTAAGAGGGGTGATAATACTCATCCAGATGAACAATAATTACCATAGAATATAGGGTCGCATTCCACTCTGAGAGGCAGAAAAAAGGAATATTAGAATTCTAACCTGAATTTACAACAGTGTTGGGAGAGATAATGAACGAGACAAAAATTTGCGTAATAAGTTTAGTGAAAAACTCACAGAGAGTGCACAAAATGGATAAAACCGAAAACTTGGTTTTCGAGTGTTAATTTGAGCTGAGACTTTGATGGCAAACACTCAAATGCACATCTTTGGTTGGCAAGATCTCAACCTCGCAAGCGATTGCAGCAAGTTAATTATCTAATCAAGGGCTGAATATTATCAACTAACTCCAACGCAAGGTAACTAACTCCAACTCAGGGTAACTAACTCCAACTCAAGGTAGGTTTGATACTCTCAAAGTAGCAGTTCCTCCCCCTTCACCATCTTCTATTCTGTCCTCCTAGACTTAATTGTACTGCGCTCATTCTACTCGAAGCGCCCTTCTATGGGACACGAATGTTCTGACAGCCGGAACAGAGCATGAACTTTTCATTTTAATCTCGGCATACAGCGAAAGTTGGAGTTATTTGATAATATTCAGTCATTGATTAGATAATTAACTTGTTGCAATCGTTTGCGAGGTTGAGACCTTGCCAACCAAAGATGTGCATTTGAGTGTTTGCCATCAAAGTTTCAGCTCGAATTAACACTCGAACGACAAGTTTTCAGTTTTATCCGTTTTGTGCACTCTCTGTGAGTTTTTCACTAAACTGATTGCGCAAATTTTGGTCTCTTTCATTCGCTCTCCCTGTTTATTATAATTTCAGGTTGGATTTCTAATATTCCTCTTTTCTGCCTCTCAGAGTGGAATGCGACCCTATATTCTATGGTAATTATTGCTCATCTGGATGAGTACTATCACCTCTCTTAATTTGTAAACACTATTTAGAATCACCCTGTATTTCTATCCCAAATGCTCTCGAAACGTGTAAATGTGTGTAAGCTCCTTTGTGCGTAATATAAAATCTGAAAACTTTCAATTGGTTTATGTCATTGAAGTGTCTTCAGAAAGTCTGTCCATTAGGTCATTATAAAAATGGAGTTCACAGTAAAGTTCCTGGTGAACTACAGTAGGCACCGCTTAATTTGATCGCTATTAATATTATCATTCGAATATTGTTGTCGAAGTGGCCCATTTGTATACGAAAACACGGAAAATGTGTTTATTGTGGTTAAGAACTCGCTTAATGTTTTCAAAATATTGCGGAAATCTGAAGTAAATGGCCAAATAAAATATAAAATTGCCAAATAACGTCGAAATAAAGTATAAAAATTGTCAAATGCCGGAGACATGTTACTTGGACGATATTTTTGATATCCAAGCAAGGGATTAAGTCTCCAAGCAGTTTATTTTGATTTAAGACTACCATATGCAAAAGAGCCCGTTTTCCAAGTTATAGAAAGATCGACTGGATGAATCAGAATTAGCAAATAGCAAAGCGAAATTCTATACCTTGCTATATCGTGCTAAAATATCTGAAAAAATTCGAATTGAACTATCAGTGATAAGATTAGAACACGATACCTGCCAGTCGTTTTTTGAAACAATTCCGAGAACATCATGCGATAGATTTCCTGGAGGAGAAAAAATACCGAAATTGGTGAATTTCCTACATGTGCTGAGATATGGAATGCCTATGAATATTAGCTATATTTGCATTCAATTAGCTAAATTCTATTGATATTTTGAAGGATATTTTCTCATCAATTGATGTTTTTCAAATAATCCTGAGCAAACGTGATCACGTTAAACGACGTCTACTGTAGTGCCTAAGCTTAAAAGTCTTTGAAAATATTAAAGATGTACGAAATACAAGTATGTGAGACTGTGAACGTTATTCACCGTTTTAGAATAATTCAGTTCTATTATTTACTATCATGTTAATTTAAAATAAATAACTTATGCTTATTTTCAGTAAAACCAAAGCTTAATTATTAGAAATGCAAATTCAAAATAAAGGATTTAATGTTACTTTACAGTAATAAAGAAATCATTGTTATTTTCAGTAGAAAATAGTAAATTGCATATAGTATTAAATACTAGAATGCATTATGAAGTAACAAGCTTAGTTTATGATGTCACTAACCTCCGTCTACGTAATTTCCTTTATAGAACGCATTCTGACCGTTTACTCAAATCGTTTCAAATCTATGAGAACAGATGTTCATTCGGACAAAGCAACGAATTATTGTACATGAAATTCTGTCTTCAGGTAGATGATATTTAGAAAAAGCGAATTGAGGTATCATAGTAATAAGTGCTGCCAACCATCATATGGCTAGTCTGCTGGAATTTGCTTAATTCAGTTCTAAATCTTTGCAGACACGTTGAAGTATACTTTTTTTTTGCCAAACGATGCTTGCGATATTCTGAAAGGGGTATACATTTAGTAGCAAGTGCATTTTTATCTCTTATTTGTTTTTGCAGACACTTCTAATAGGATATACGTAGAATGTTTCCAAAGTTCTAGCAATTTAGATGCAATTTCTTTATTTCGTCAATATTATAACTAATTAAGATTTTCAACGTGATTTCCATTTAAACTAACTGCAATTATACAAACGAAAAATTAATCTATTCAAGCCATCATCAATCCACCTATTAATGGCATGGTTAAACTCAAATCGAGTTCAAGAATGATATAAAAAATTAATAAAATTCTGTTTGCCTCTATGTAGCAATTTAAAACATTCAATATGCATTTAACTACACATTGCTGGCCGTTGAAATTACTACACCATGATGTAAAGGAATAAACGGAATCACATTTATTTTGAAATACATTATAATGGAAAGAAGAAAAGATTAAAATTTTAGATAATTTTCATATCCGGAACATACAGATATTTATACCCCAAACATTCACCTCTCGCAACAATAGCAGCTGTTTTAACTCTGGACATGAAGTCTGACAGACTTTATTGCTTTTCGCATTTTCTATAGCTGCAAGAACAGTATTAAAAAGTGCGCGTTTATCAAACAACTGAAACGGACTAAATAATATTACACGGGACAGCTGCATAAACATGACAAGATTTTACATTGCCCGATAGAGTTGCCTATATTATTGTTACGGATTGTGTATTTAGTTAGCTGTTTATAGTAAAATTATAATTAAAATTGTTTTATATCCCCGTGCAATGCGGCAGTACACATATTTTAAGAGAAAGCTACGTCAGAAAGTAAAAATACAGGAGCGCCTGCATTTAACGTTTAATAAATAGATATCTCGTAATTTATATTTAAATTGAATAAATGTAATTGACTGTTGTGTTAGCTGTAACCGTAATTCTACTCTTTTGCTTTCCAGACATCTCGAGAAAACAGAAATTACCAGAACGTTCTCGTGAGCGATTAAAAAAGCTTTAATAAGCCGGAGAAAACTCAGTTTACTTAGCCGGTGTAATTATTGTTGATCGGATTAGCTTTCTCTGCACTGTGGATTGCGTTCTCTTTAACGTTTTAGTAGTTTAAAGTATAGTTACTGATTATATTGTGTGATACTGTGATAGTGTACGAATAACTTTGAGGAAGAATCCAGCGTTCTGCTACATTTCTTGTGACAAGAATAAATTTTATTAACTTTTTTGGGGCTTGTGCATTCAATCTATTACGAACTCGTACGCACGCAACACTTTTTTTTTGTCAGAAGTGGGATTCGATGCCAATAACAAGAGCAATGGAAGAATAATTAAGGCAGTTGACATCTACATTTGTTGCATTCCAAGAAAAGATTCAAGGGGCCATCAACTCTGTTAAAGAAGAGATTAGGAGCAGACAAAATTCAGTTAAAGAGGAAATGATAGCGACTCAAGAAAAGATGGAAGCTGGTCAAGCATCTGTTAATGAGGAGATGAAAGCCGTTCAGAAATCTGAAAAAGAAGAGATGATAGATGTTCAGGTATCTGTTAAGGGAGAGATGAATGGTGTTCAAAAAATATTGAAGCAGGTCAAGAGGAAATGGAAAGAGAA